CAGATAGAGATACCGGGAGAGATTCCAAGACAGGACGCTGTTTCCCCTGTCTTAACTCCTTTTGTGTGTTTGTCCCAGAAATAGAACTTACGAACTTGACACCAGTGTGTTTCCTTCACCCCTGATTGGAAGTATCACCTGGGTCTCCCACAATGTTAGGAAAAATTAAGGTTTAACATTTACGTAAGTTTAGGTTATGTTAGGAAAAATTAAGGTTAGGTTTAACACTTATGTTAGTAGAAGAGATGGGTCGGCGTATGGGAATGGAGGCTGGTTCCAAGGCAGAGGGCAGGCTACTGGCCCTTAAGTGAATCACCATCACTGTCATCCACACTTATCAGGGCCTCCCTGACAAATCCCTCAAAGTCACCATCACTGTCTCTGTCACTATCACTGGCTTGGGCTGGCTGTGGTGGGTTGCGGGCGAAGAATTCGGTAATGATTTGTTGACGGCTAGTGTTGATGTTGTCGTGATACACCTTGATGTAGGGGTCCATAATCTGCAACAGCTGGGTAGTGAAGACTTCGTATCGGTTATCGTCAGGGTCATCGGAAAGGATGAGCTTCAGTTTCTCTACACACTCGATGGTACCCCTTACATTACCATGCAATAACTTGTGTTCTTCTCGGGATGACGCACCGCTTGTCTCTTCACTGACGTCATCGTCTTCTAACATCTCGTCGGCAGTCACATCAGGATCCCTTATCACCTCCATAATGTCGTCGTTGGTGGTCTCGGAGAAGCCTGCAGCTGTAACACTCTGCGCAGCTTCTCTGGCAAGGTCCACTGCTACTGCAACAGTCTGAACCTCACCAGTCACAGATTGACTCTGCCTCCCACCTGGGATACCTTGCAACACGTCTCCATGCGTGACGAACCTTTGGTACAGACAGCTGATCCCAAGCCTCCACTAAGAAGTCCACAGCTTTCTTGACGTTGAATTTCCTCCAAAAGTGTTTCACAAGAACTTCTTGCTCTGCCAACTGTTGTTCCTCGTCCTCTTCGCTCCTGCTATCGGTGTCACCCAGGTTACGCAACTCATCCTTGGTGTTGGTATAGTCGTTCAGGAGCTTAAACTTCTTTGCAGAGAATGCAGCTTTCACATTATTAATTCTTGGTCCATGGGCTGGATTAATGACGTAGTGTTGGGAGGAAGGAAGACCACTTTTACGTTGGGGGTGACGATCCAACAGTAGGGGCGAGTGTCCTGGTGCGTTGTCAAGCAGCAACAAAATCTTGAATGGAATATTCTGTTGCTCACAGAATTTCTTCACGTCGGGAACGAAACAGTCATCAAACGAGGAGAGGGACGGAGTAGAGAACATCCACGCCTTACGTGCTGTCAGCCAGTGGACATTTAGCTTGATCATGTCCATGTTCTTGTAGGCGTGTGGTTTGTGGGCTGTGTGAATCACCGATAACTTAGAGTTTACAGGAACCGGAGGCATTGGTGGTAAAGAGGACGGTGATGCGCTCCTTCTGCAACTTCCGGCCCCGACACTTGCTGGCAGACTAGACAACGAAGGTCTTGGAAGGTAGCTTTTTCCAAGAGACCGGATTCGTCCATGTTGAACACCTGGTCGTCAGTGTACTGTCCTTCCTCCATAATCTCACGTAAGAACAGAGGAAAATCCCTAGCCGCAACACGGTCAGCACTCGCTTCTTCACCACTAATGTTAATGTTGGTGATCTTGTTCTCTTTTTTAACTTCTGCAGCCAACCAGAGGAAGCATTGAAGGGTTTGGGTTCTGCAATTCCCATCTTACGTGACACTGCTGCGCACAGTTCACATGCGTACTCCTGAACTGAGCGCGTGTCGACCGCCATGTTCCGTCTTTTCTGACGAATCAAGTAGCTCACAAGTAACTTCTCATTCTTGAGAAGCACCTTGTTGTGGCAATACTTGATCACTGAAGCACCTGTAGACTTTGTGATGTTCATGTGTTCTTTTATCTTGGCTGCATCCTTCTTGATCATCCAGATCGTAGATTCGTTCACACCATGCTGGCGTGCCAAATCAGCCTGTCATGTTCCTTTCTCCATCTCTTGGATGATCTTGTACTTCACTTCGTAGCTTAAGGCACGTCATATCTTCTTTGGCTTAGGGCGGCTGGGTCCAGGTAATGCAAGGTTTTTCTGTGGTGGTGGTGGTCCGGTGGCAGCCATTCTTATGGAACAATGTATATCGATATACACGGTGTAACCGGGAGGGGTGTAACTGACGTGGGTAGGTGAACAGGCTTCATCGTTCCCACGGCAAGGCACGTCATATTACATTAAACCAATCACAGCTAGCGGGGAGGGAGGTAAGGATGTTTGGCCCAATCACAGTCCGATACGTCATATGACGTCACCGATAACGCAACAAAGACATACACTGCGCAACCTACTCGCGCCGCTTACCCAACATGGCGGATGGCGGGAGAGATGGCGGTAGGTTTGAATCCAAAAATGGCGCGGCGTGAGATGACCGCCAGCCGCTCTCCGCGTAAAAGAGTAGATGCACCGCGTAAAGTGAACATTCCGGTTCTGGCGGGGTACCGCGTAAATGTAGAAACGCGTAAAAAAAAAACCCGCGTAAAGCGGGGTAATACTGTACTGTAGATTGAATGGGAAAGGATGGGTAAAATAAGATCAGCTCACAGCTCTTGTATAGGGGTCTGCTGCCCTCCACCCTCCAATTGGTATGTGCATAAGCTACCTGAATATAGTTTTTGGTGGAAAATAGAATTTCAGGATTAGTCCTCACTTTTGATTGTCAGTTCATTTGTTCTGCAATAGTGGACTGTATTATAAGATTGTGATAATGCTGTTTGTGTCCGGCGTCCTTTTCAGCCCACCATTTGTGCTTAAGTGTTGTACAGGTGTACCCTGTTAACCGATGCATATTGGGACCGGGAAAAGTTGTTGGTTAGTGAATCAATGGTTATCTAAGCAATTATTCCCATAAGAACATAGCAAATTCGGGGGTTAGGGACTGGCTATCCCCCCAAAAACTCCCCATTTACCCTTGATATATCTTTGTCATGCACACTGTCAAGCAAGAAAATAAAGCAGACATATAAGGCAAGCATAATCTGCCTTAAATAAGCATAAATTGAGACGCTATTTTCCTGTGTGGAGGATGGTAGAGACGGTCAAGGGTGGCAAGTTCAAGTCTCTACCAATCTTTGTTGGGCCATCACCACTCTTATTTTACATGTACAGTCTCATTCAAGATTCTTCGAACACTGCTGGAGACAGCTGGCAACTCAAGGCCGCTTGTTTACTATAGTATGTAGTAAAAATTATGAATGAATGTAAAAGTGATCGGTGATTGGTTACTTAGTTCCCGTTGCTTAATTTAATGGTTGGGCTTTGTTGTTTCATATTAAATTACACTACGTACTATAGTAAACAAACGGCCTTGAGTTGCCAGCTGTCTCCAGCAGTGTTCGAAGAATCTTGGATGAGACTGTCCCTTATTATGCCTTATTACACCTTATCACATCACATCAAGCTGCCCAGCACAGGAGGCACTATCACTGGGGCGTTTAGGCATGATTGAGTAATACACTAAGTCGGAAATAACAAAAAAACATGAAGTCAGAGACACATAGTAAGTGTAAATAAAAGCAAAGATTGCGGGAATGACTTAGGGCAGTGCAGAAAGCCCTCACGTGGCAAGAATTCGCACTACTCCACTGCCCTCCAAATTCAAAACAGCTCTGCCTCTCCTCTCCCAATCGTCGGATCTACAGGGTATCTACGAAACTTGCGGCGTATTTCTCCTACATGTAATCGTCGGTTATGCGAAGCGGGTGTTAATGGGACACCTGTTTCAGGGTACACTTGTACACTCTTTCTGTTTGTGTCTCCTTAATGAGAGTATTTTTGTTGTTTATGTTACAGGTTTTTGTTAAAGATAACATTTTTTTCTTTCATAAAGGATTAGTTAGTATATCAAGTGAAAATAGTAGTTCATATGAGGTTGAAAAAGATGTTTGGGTGGTATTTTTATTTACAAGTAGTTCATTTACATTGTTGGGGCATTGACTTTAACTTAATATGTAATGAATAATATACAGGTATCCATCCCTATTCGAATATTCACTTATCCGAATGTAGCAGATTGAAAATTCAAATAGCATGAAGTCAACTGAGGTGGCCATTTTGCTCCCCCTTATGTGCAGGAGCATTCCATATGCTTGCTCAAGGCACATGATGTCATCCCCTCCATTCACTCTGTGTTCGGTGCAAGTGAAGTGCTCTCTCTGTAAACGTTTGTATTCATGCCATCCTTTCATGAATCTGTACTCAATGGCATCCAAGCATATTGGTGAAGCGTACAGCGAATGAGGGTGCGCCAAATCTGTAGACTTGCATCGTTTACCATCGTAAATAAAATGGTTAATTAATGCCTTCCTAAAGAAACCATCGACATGGGACCAGGTTTGTTCCACTCTACGAATTTTTTGCTATTTTTCCACCAAGTTTGATGAAAAACAATTGTGCCGTTTCGGCTGCCCAGAACAGACAGACAGACAGACAGCTAGTCCTATAGTATATTAGATTCCTCTGCTACCTTCACTTTGGCAAACCTGTGATTCTTGAAACCAAGCTTGAGATAATCAAACATCATGAATGGGGGAAAGCCCACCCAATATAAGACAATATACTGTACCAACTGTAGCTACTGTATAATGTATATGTATTTCATTTAGTTGACCATTTTTTTTTGTTAGGTGTAACACCTAAAATGATGTTTCTGTAATGTGTAAAGCATAAGAATAAACCAAAACAAAATGTAATAATTATTTTTTTATTTTTTGTTGGTCAGTCACTGAACCTTCATTTTTCCATTTATTATTTTATTTGCAATCCAAATAATCGATAACCAAATGGCTTTAAAGGCACTTAACCAATTTGGATAGCAAGGGATGCTGTATTATCTCTAGGATTTTATTGTGTCCTTTTTTTTTTGCTGATCATCATTTTTCTCTTGTGAATTCTTTTGCAGGTAGTGGGATACAAAGGTCCTGCAGTTGTGGTTGTGTCATGTGTAACTGTGAACCCACCATATCGTGCACATCCACACAATCTAGTGGGCAAGGAGGGGTGTAAAAAGGGTGTATGTACAATGACCATCAACCCTGATTCCATGCAATGTGTCTTTAGCAACTTGGGTATTCAGTGTGTCAAAAAGCGTGATGTGGAAGATGCCTTGAAGCTAAGAGAAGAAATCCGTGTTGATCCTTTTCAAAGTAAGTGACATATCCACAATATAATGTAAAATTTTTATCTCTACAGTGTTAGGATGCAACAATTTTAGTTCAAAAATTAGACATTATTAGTGTTATCTAGCTTATTACTTGTAAGATATAAAGACAGGAATACTGTATATATTTTTATTGTGTCCTGGGTAAGGTTAGGATTGATATGCAGCTATTAATGTAAATGATATTACATTACGTACTATACAATAGATTTATTGTGGAATAAATGACTATTTATTAATACAGTGATATCCTCGCTAGCCGGAACAATTGGGGCTAACCAGACGATTTAATCAAACTCGGAAAAATTCCTTATTCCCTGAATCTTTTCCGGTTACTGGGAAAAGTTTTCGAGTGTCAAACCTAGACATCTTGCACAGACAGACACTAGCCCGCTTCCCAAAAAAGTTTCTGGGTGCTGGGGATGTTTTCCTTGAGTTTATCCAAAAGTGGTTAAATAAATATATTTAAAAACTAAAACTCTATATGATATGGGTGTGAATGAAGCTGTGTATTATAGCAAAAATTGGTATTTTCCTTTCCCATGGAGCTGTGGGGGATTAGTGGGTCTCGTGTACCTGACCTGACCTGACCTGACCTGATGCAATGTCAGGTGGAGATAAGGTGGGGGATTAGTGGTCTCATATTATGACCTTCTGATGGAATGTCAGATCACCCTTTCTTAGGTGGGGGATTAGTGGGTCTCAGGACCTGAAGATGTCATGAATAAACACGAAAGCTAAAGTATTTTGAGGGAGATTGTGATTAGTATAAGTATAAATGAGCATTTTAAAATATGGAGTGGGAAAGCAGAAAGCTGTGTGTAATTAGAGAAATGGAATGGAAAGGGATGTTACCAAGCGCTCCTCAACTGCTGATATTTAACTCGCTAACACAGTCACACACGTGCAAATTTGTTGAACAACAAGACCCTCACTCCTCATGCTTGCTATCTTAATTCCCTTGTTGGGGGTGTGTGAGTGGTGTTGGTGTGTGTGTGTGTGCGGGTGGTGATGTTGGGGTGTGCGGGAGGTGATGTTGGGGTGTGCGGGAGGTGATGTTGGGGTATGTGGGTGGTGATGTTTGGGTGTGTGGGTGGCGATGTTGGGGTGTGCGGGTGGTTGTTGGATAGAGAGAGTGTATGGGTGAGTGGTTGTTGGAGAGTGTGTGTGTGTGTGTGGTTTTTGGAGAAAGTGTGTGTGTGTGTGTGTGTGGATGGTTGTTGGAGTTTCGCGAAACCCAACAAACTGGGCAATCGGCAGTCCATTGCAACTCTCCCTCTCCCCAGTCATTGCAACACTTGCACCACTGGATCAGGAAAAGGGAGAGCCAAGATGTGTGGTTGCAGCCAGTGCTCCTGCCTCACCACATAAATCAACTCATGTGCAGCCATCATCCAGCTCATCATACTCATCATCATCAAAACCCCTATACCCCAAAAGTCCTATGGCGACGGACGAGTGGCGACGGGGACAGGCAGAGATGACTGTCAGGGGTCTCTAGTCACATCTCTGCCCATGGGCGGCACAGATAAGATGGTCGTTTATGCACTGGGACCTAGGCAGCAGTGCAATCCGGTCCTGACTGTGCGACTGAGCAGCCCCTTCGAAGAGCCACTCTGTTCACCCCACATGGGGAGGGGCTACAAAAGGTGCCCTAAACATAGCCTGCCTAAAGAACCAACCTGACTGGGCAACTGTACCCAGTAATGTCATCCTTATGTGGTCGAAAACACAATTATAATCACAGACCAAAACAAAAACAAACTATTCAACCTCTTATGGTCGCTGCATGGAATGTCAGGACCCTTCTGGATACTGGCACAAATGCACTTCCTGAAAGAAGAACTGCCCTTGTGGCAAAAGAGCTGGCTAGGTATAGCATCAACATAGCAGCCATTAGTGAGTCCCGGCTCCCAGAAGAGGGTCGACTCTCAGAACAGGAGTATGGCAATACCTTCTTCTGGAAGGGTAAGCCTGCGATGGAGAGAGACTGCATTTATGGAGTTGGCTTTGCCATCCACCAACGCATCCTACACAGGCTAACTGAAATGCCTGTTGGGATCAATGAGCGCCTCATGACGCTCAGAATCCCACTGAATCACTCACGTCATGCCTTTTTTTCATCAGTGCATACGCCCCAACACTGGATGCAGAGGATGACATCAAGGAAGCCTTTTATGCCCACCTTGACAGAGGGCTAATCTCTATCCACAGAGAAGATAAGGTTGTACTCCTTGGTGACTTCAATGCCAGAGTTGGCAGAGATGCTGACATTTGGCAGGGAATCATAGGGAGAAATGAATTAGGCAAGTGTAATCCCAATGGCCTACTCCTCCTCAGCAAGTGTGCTGCACACAACCTCACTCTCACCAATGCCTGTTGTAATGAACCATCGAATCTTGTTTTGTTCCTTGGTATCCATTCTGCTATAATATGCAAAGTGAGGGCTGCCATGAGCTTGACAGAGTTCCGATGTTCTGTACGGACAAGCTCCTCTGGATTGTTCAATCCCATTTCTCCTAGTCTAGGTGGTAGTGCAAGGAGTGACGCTTCTGCTGGGGTTAAGTGAAGGTGTTTCACTAATTTTGGAATAAAATTGATGCTGATGGGTTCTTCCAGAGGGTAGAGGAGGGGTCCAATATCAGGGATAGTGTGCATCAGGTAATTCCAGCAATGCTCGACTCCATGGGTTTTTGCCGCAAAAGTCGCATGTGGCTCTGTTTTAGCAATATCAGACAGAGCTTGGATTTCCTTCACCCACTCAATAACCTTTACCGTTACGTACTCGGTCTTAGTCATTCGTGCCAATTACCGCACCTAGATGTTTTTGGCCGTCCTTTGTTATTTTTACCTCACTTCCGCCAAACACCTCCATTACCCGTTCATAGTGTTTTGGCTTCACAATGAGGAAGGACTTTATGGCATCTGGGTGGTACCGTATTTGTGGACCTCGTGATGTTACCACTCCACTTTTCCTGCTCCTCTTAGGTCATCAGCGTAAGCCACTTGCTTGACCTCGGTTGTTTCATATTTTATTGTAGGTTGGAGCACAGACAGGCCTAGTGTGTACATTGCCATGGCAACAGGGTCCCCTGTGTTGTTCCCTCAGTTGACTGTATGGTGGTATCTCCTCTTAGGGCCTTGATGCTTGTTATATAGAGCTTTGATGGATTCCTATAGGTGTTTTCAAAATACATTGCAAAGCTTGGACACGTGATCTTGATGTTGTGCAGTGTAGCCTTGCGGTTGATTATGTTGAATGCGTTGGAAGCGTCAACCAGGAGTGCTGCCTCACAATCACGCTGCTCAAATATTTTTCTCATGGTGTGAATGGCAGCTTCCCCTCCAGCCTGTTGGCCAGCACATACTTGCAAGTTCCCTGCAGTTGAACTGACACCTTCGTTTATCACCTCCGTTATGCATTTTCCAATTATCCGTCTCAGCACTTCCCCCACCTCTATATGCCTACATCCTGGATTTTTTTCCAGGGGAATGAGGCGGCAGGCCGTCAGAGCATGGAGGTGGTGGCAGCACGAGGTTGCTTGCTTTCTTGGAAGGGCGGCTGTTGCATTGCAGAGATCACTTGTTACGGCACCAAACTTGTTAGTGTTGAGGATGACTCTCCAACCATCTGCATCCAGGCCTGAAGGGCCTTCTCCTCCCTGTGTTTCCCTGCTTTTTTCCACACCATCCCTCCTGTTATTTTCTCGAACAGGACAGCATTTGGAGGGATGTAGGCACCCTGGAACCTGATGCCTTCCTCTTCACTTGCTGGGGGATGTTTTTCCTTCAGTTGTTTTAATGTCTCTCTGTTTATTGGCAGAACACCACCGGAAAATTCCTCTATGAGCGATCTTACCGCCAAGGAAACTTTTCCTTCTTGCATCTTGTTACCAAATTTTCTGGCAACATCCTCGGTGTTTTGCTTTCCGTCCCCTATGAATTTTAGACACTCCTGCAGTTTTCTTGCTTTGCATAGATCATCAAAGGCCCCTTTCTGCCACATTGTTAATCTCCTATTCATTGCTGCCACATTTTCTTTGCACTTAGACCTTGCGTGTCCTCTGACAGAATAGATGGTGTATTATGGTCAGTATTTGAAGAGCTAAAGAGGCCAGGGAGGTGTCATGAGAGTAATTGATTATGAGGCAAGTCATCTCTTGGATCATTTCTTTGGTGGCTGCACACTTGGGTGGTTCAAAGAAGTTAGCTGGTGACCACCTGACCACTCTGAGTGCACTTCTTTGACCCACTTCTCCGCATCATCCCTCGACATGCCTTTCCAATTTGTTGTCTGTATGTCATGCACCTCATGAATATTTTTTTCCGACAGAGTTGGTTCACTACTATCGTCTGACATGTCATCATCAGGTGATGGATCTCTGCCGTATGGATTTTTACAGCTGGTCCCTTTCCCACAACTCACACATTGTGTGTTACTTCTCACACATATACAGGTTGTGCATTTCTGATTCTGGTTTGAGCACTGACAAATACATTTCCCAGCCATGATGTCGACCTGGGAAGGAGAGAGCAGTGGGAAAGGCGGATGATTATGGTTTGGGAGGGGAGGGGCTGGAGGGTCAGTTTTGGTGTACTGGCCAACGGGGCCGGGCAGGGAAATGCCAGGTGGGGCAGACGAGGGCTGTGCACTTGGCGACTGTTATTACCCTTGACCGCTCGGGTTACACACCACGGCCTATGTGCCACTAATCAACACCAGCGCAACCTGCCATACAGTCCCTGGCTCTCCAATAACTATCACCAATATCCACTCACGAGGCCCACAGGTGGATGACACTGTGATCACTTCACGCACTACACATTCACAAGTAATAATTCCTGTAGTTCTGGCTGGTTGACCCTATTAAGACCCCGATTTTTTATGAAAAACCTGGAGCTATCACGACCCCCATCCTCCCTCCACAATACAACCACCATTACTGCTTCTTTTTTTTCGGATTTGGCGCTTGTATGCTTCAGTATGCAGTTGGGCTAATTCGAAAGTATTGGCACCTTGTCGTGTGGTGCTTCTCCAAGTGTTACGATGTGGATTATTTGACACGATTTGGTACTTTTCAGGTTTGCCTTAAGACTTTCCTTACACCTTTTCTATTGCCTGCCAGTATTACGTTTACTATTCGTTAGGTGACTTTAAAGTAGCTGCTTTGGCAGTCTACTGTAGTTCATGTGGGTAACATGGCCAGCCCAACAGTTGGTGTCAGCAAGAATACTGGCATTTGTTCTCTTGTCTTCCCAGCGAACTCGGATGATGGAACGTAGACTATGTTGGTGAAAGTTTTCAATTGCCTTGAGGTGCTTCCTGCATGTGACCCATGTCTCGCTGCCATATAGCAGGATGGGGAGGACCACTGCTCGATATACGTGTAACTTTGTAGATAGTTTCAGCTCCCTACAGCAGAAGGCCATGTTCGGAGTCTGCCAAAGGCTTGATGGATCAGATGTGCATCACACAGGAATTAAGACAACAAGCATCCAGTGAGGGTCTTGTTGTGTGACTGCATGGAGGTATATGCAGATGCATACATAATACTGTACACTACAATATTCCGTAAGTGCTGATAACTACACTACAATATTATTTATTAAATGATGACAAATACAGTGCATTATAGTACTGTACTAATTTACTAAGTGCTGAAGACATTGTGGTAAGCATGAATGGTGAAGGATCTAGGCTGATCAGCTGTTTGCCCTTTGTAAACAAACAACTCATGGTGTTGAATGTGAGATTCTTCTTTCAGGAAAGTTGATTATTTTATAATAATATTTTATCAACACCTGCACCAAATGAACCTAAATGATTTAGGAATTATGGTGAAATTACATAAAGACATGTTAATGGAATCTTGGGGCAAGGGAGCCACCCCCCCCCTCCCCCTGCATTACCCCTCTCCCCACCCCTCTGCCTGCTGCTCCCATATCACTCTCATCTCCAACACACAATATACCCCTACTTTCTAATTTTTATCTTTATAGTACTGTACAGTATAGAGTTTTCTCTTTTTCCAGAAGACAAATTCTGTGGTTTCTTACATATAACAATTTACAGTACAGTACGTAAGAATCATCTTGGTGGAAACAGTTGTCAACAACCATACCTAAGTCTTATTTTCAACCCAGAGAGTTTTAATGACCTTGTTATGCTCTTAATAACCTTAGTTGTTGAAGTGCATTAATAACATTGTAACAACAACAACAACAACTCATTTTCTTTAAACAGTCCCAGATAAGCAGTGTTACCCCTACTCCTTTTACCCCATCGATTCACTTTTATCAGACTTTCGTATCTTTCGGACTGGGGTCTGTCCAATTAGTCCAATTTATTGAGGTTCTACTGTATTGTTGTTTTTGCTCTTAATATTAGTGTTGTTATTATTATTAGAAGTAACTGAGAAATAGTAATAATATTATATGGTAGTAGAATTGTCAGTGTACATTATCATAGTGTAAGTAACAGTGTGTAATAGGTAATACATTTATAGTAATTGGCTATAGGGTTAGTAACAGTAGTAGTCTACATTACTGCACAATGATGAATCAAATGTTCAAACACTTCATATGTTACTGCTGGCACACTGTTTCTACCCAGTTCAAAAATGCCTAAGGAGAAGTCCTGCTTTTTCCTAACTTTTTTTTTACATGAAATAGGAAACTTGCTCCTATTTTAATTCTTTTAAGTAAGTCTACTTTAGATAAAACTCGGTTATTCAGAGGCTGTGTTCACACTGGCTTTGTCCATTAAAGCCCATAGATCAATAAATAGGAGGATACTGTACTTATAATATTTGTGTACAACTAATATAAGTGTGTTTTGTTGCAGCTGGATTTTCCTACAGGACTCAACCACAAAATATAGACCTGAATGCATTACGACTATGTTTTCAAGTATTTCTTGAAGGACCAGAAAAGGGAAAATTTACTTTTCCATTGAAGCCAGTAGTTTCAGAACCAATATATGATAAAAGTAAGTACACTTCAAATTTATTTTGAATATATATTAAGCAATAGGTTGACTTGACCTACTGTGTACCCTTCTCTTTCTTACTTCCCATTTACATAGTACATATTACCTATATTCACACTGTATACTCTTCTCAGTCTGATATGATGAGAGTCCCAGTAAGAAACTGGCCACAACCTGAAAAAGTTTATACATTTATGTATAAACATAAAATATATCTGTTGGTGAAAATACAGAAAAGTCTCGCAATATTATGTACTTTTTGTGATAAATTTGCTGCAATAACTACTGTATACAATATCTGAATTTTCACCATAATTCATTTGGTGTGATTACATAGCTGTGTGATTACTGTACATTGAGGTCTCATTTTGTGTGAGTATATCATACTGGTACACGTCTGTGCATTGAAAATCCACGCAAACGATGCCCTTTAATAGTGTTAAAATTTGCTTTACTGTATTGTACGAGACTTGCTAGAGCTTTAATCTGGAATGACTCTAGGTAACCAACTTAATCCCTACGCCCCGATTGACGTTCTGGAATGTCCATCTAGGGCTCCCCGGTTGATGTTCAAGGAACGTGCGCCTTTCTGCGCCATTGTTTGAATGCCCAGCGCGGGTTATTAGGTTCCAGCATGACTATTTGGTGGTCACACCACACACAGGGTAGCGTGGGTAGGCTCAGTGCGGTTAGTACGCATTAGCCTGTTGCCATGAAGAATCGTCCCTTAACCTGGCAACAGACTGCGTGTGTGTTGCTGAGCACTTTTTATGAAAAATAATGCAAATAAAGTAAATTCAAAATTAATTATTTATAGGAAATAAGTATTTTGATCAGTAAATATATGCATTACTGGCCAACCAGGAACCAAAGGGAAGCAGAAAATGGCCTCTAAGTTCGTACATGACCACGAGCGCTCGCTTTCAAAACAACTCTGTCCTCTTATCTCCCTCGTCACTGCGGCCCAAGGGAAGTTTCTAGAGGGTTTCTTTTTTATTGTTTTATCATTTAAAAAGGTTAAAAATAATTTTTGGAAAAATTGATTTTTCTCGATTTACCCCGCGTGGGAGGTTACGTCCAGTGGCATCCTAACCCGGGGCGTAGGGGTTAATCATTAAAAAAAAAAAAAGTCCTAAACTGCTTCTACATTATTAAATAGATATTTTAAGAATGCTCAGGAAGTTAATTATAAGATACTCCACTGTCTCCACGGAATAGTGGAGGTGTGGGAAGCTCTGGGAGATGGTGGTGGTCTGAGGCAGGGGGTGAGGGCTAGTTGGATTCAGAGATTTAAAACTTAACTGCAGACACTTGTAAAGCAACTTCAACTTCATCACCAATCTCCAGAGTGGCAGGGTCATCGTCACTGGATTCTCCTTGAATTGTTGAGGCATAAAATAGGTGGTGATGAGAGCTTGGCAGCAATGTTTACTTAATTCCTGGTAATGATGCCTGTAGGGTTCCACCAAACTGTTTAATTGTGCACTGAATTCGTCATTGTGTTGCAGGCTGGACTCATCACCTATTAAAGCATCCTTGATTTCTTCAGCATTGATGAGAACTTGCGTCACCTGCTACTGAGTCATGCCTCCCTCAGTCTTATCTGGTACCGCCACACCACCAACACTGATTTAGCTTGTTGTTTTATTTTGAAGTAAAAATATATAACGTATATTTGTTCTATTATTTAATACTGTATGTTATATTATGTATGATGAAACATACACCATAATAGGCTGATCATATGAGTATATAATAAAAAAAAAAAAAAAAGGTTAATGAGGCAACAACTGACCCCCCTCTCAACATTTTAGACAGAGTGTCATCTCCTGTTGATACCAGAGTCCATAAAACAGTTCTAATAAGATGGAAACCCCATTTTTACCCAAAGAATCCTGATTAGTTTACAGTATCTGAAAGTTTACTACAATAAATATATTTAAAAACCAAAAAATCTATATGATATAGGTGTGCAAGGCACTTACACTTGGTTTCAAGGGAGAACGGACAAGCGACCCTTGTGTGGGGGGGGGGGGTGACCACTTTAACCCTCCCTCACCCCATCACACACTGCTTCTCCCACTGTCTCGTCCACTGTCCAGCTTCTATCTATAGCCTCAGAAATTGTTTAAGTAAATAAGAACAAAATTAAGAGTTATTGTATGAAAAATCATCTAAAGAAATAAAAAGAAAAGTAGAGAGAAAGAAATAGAGTAATTACATGATACAGGGATTTGTTGTTTATTGATCGAGTGAACAGAAAGGAGAGATAATATCTTAAACAAGGGATAAAGAGGAAAAATATCTGGAGATGGCACATAATTGTGTTGCGGAGTTGCTGACTGGCTGACTCGCCACCTAGTACCACTCAGATTGGGTGAGGTTGAGCTGTGGGATATGTTACTGTTCAACTTGTAATTTCAGGTAGATATATGTAATTTTCTTAATTTTCTTGTACTCTGTTACATGCACAGACATTCATTCATACAGAATGTGCAAAATAACAAAACAATTATCTTAAGGTCGAAAACATAAAGGGAATATAGTAAACAGTTCTTACCTGGTCTGCAATTAGCCAACAAGAGAGGAGGGAGAGGGAGGAGCAATTACTTTAGTGCACAATATCACAATAGTACTGAGTACTCCATAAAAATGCCAAAGTCACAACAATAACAGCGATGCACAGCAATAGGAATGATGCACAGCAATCAATAATATATAGAGCAATATAGTAAAGCACAGATCACAATGTTCAAAAGCAGGGTAAATACTAGTGTAGTAATGGCCTGGGTTGGTAGGTGGTGCACCCCTGCAATACGTGGTTTCCATATAATAAACCTAGGTATGTACCCCCTCTGGTTACCAAAAAATTTATTTATGTTTTTTGCTGGAAAAGCTGGATAGGGATTTCTAAAATTCAGGTAGGCTGATTCATTGGAAGTATCTTAATAGCGTCTCCCTTTCCAAGTGCATTAGTGTTGGCCTTGAAAATCCAATGTTGCCACAATTTTTAAGTGGGGCAGAAGACATACAAAGCTTCATAACAGCTTATCATCCACAGGCTAATGGCCTCTTTGAAAGAACCAATCGAAAAATCCTAGAGATTCTTCGTCCAATAGTGAGTCAAGTGCACCATGCATGGGAGGATTGGTTGCCTCAGGTCGCAGCTCCTATTAATGGGTCGATCAATAGCTTCATGGGCAAATCATCCTACTACAGTAGGTTCTCAAATTTTGCAAGTTTTTAATTTGACATTTTTTATTTGGACACACCAAAAAAAATTTCAAATTTCGACAGCGGAAACTCGAATTTCGACGGGTTTGAGCGCCCACCAACGTTCATACGTGCACAATCGTGTAAACAGTGTCATTTCTCTTATGTACAAAAGATTCATTATTGTTTATTACTGAGTCTTTTTGATTGAATTAATGTTTATGTGTGCAAAATGAACATTACAATTCATTAATAATACGTAGATTATTAAAACACACAAGGAGATGAGACGGCACTGTTTTTGTTAATGTTTACAAAACCAGTGACTGATTGGTTCTGCATATAAAACTGAAGAAATAAGACCCTGGTTGTATCTGTAGTAAAATTAGTGTAAAAAAGTTAATATGGTTGTTTTAAGTAACGTTATTTAATGTTCATAAACGGAACAATAAAAGTAGCTAACCATTAATGGTAAAGATATAAAGTGAGATCGCGTATGTAAGTGTGCACATTTGAAAACACATCGTCATTACTCTACATAAGAATATGAAAGCCACACTTATTTACTGTTCTATAATATGGTGCGAGAGCCTGAAAGAAAATCCAAGCTTTCACCCAAGTTTGATGGACCATTCCGCATTGTCGCCAAAGAAGCGGGTAACAAATTTAAACTTTTAAAAAAAATTCACAAACTTCAAATGTTGTACATGCAGAATGACTAAAAAGGGGCCACACAGATTTATTCCCTAAGAATGTTAACGATGTCACAGACACATCTGCCCAGACCGCAAACACATCAAGTACCTGTACACCCAGTGTACCCAACACTTATCGTTTAAAACTACGTTCTTTGAAACAATACAGTGGTCCCTCGGTTAACGAAATTTTGGTTAACGAATTACCTTCCATAAGAATCTTCACTTCGGTTTACGAAAAAATTTCGGTTAACGAATTCCTTACGAATTTTTCCCAACATGTTTTCGTCTGCTTTTGGCTGCTCACCAGCTGTAGTATTAGTCCGCCAATACAGTAATCGGTTTTAGGGCTTAAATTCGTTACCATTTGAGTAAATATCAAGAAGGTTGTACTGTTCAATAATTTTCCAAGTCTTATAATATAATTTTTAGTCATTTTAACAATTATTTAACATAATTGAAGCACAAGGAACTAGTTTTTAGCGCGCCAAACAGCCACTTGACTCACCCAGAATGGCGTCAGTTTGTGTCCCTGCTCAGAGGAGGAAGCATCGTGCTTGAGACTCTCTTGAACATAAACTATTTTTACGTTTTTCCAGTGCAATTATTGGTCATTCTGAAGTTTATTTTACATATTGACAATATATAATGCAGTGTAGTGTTGATTTAAAGAAAATAATCTTGAATTACACCAAGTGAACTAAAATTTTATGGGTGAAATGGTGACATGAAGCATGGGGTGACTTCTCTTCCACCCCAATGCCTTCTCTTCTCCCTTCTCCACCCCCATTCTAATTCCCATCATCATCATCATCAATCAGGAGCCTTCTACATGCACACTACTGCATTTATTTTTAGTTTGTATGTAATTTTCGGTGAGCTGGAACCAATTACCCAAAATCCCATTGAAACAATGGTTTCGGTTTACGAAATTTTCGGTTAACGAACGACCTTCTGGAACAAATTGTGTTTGTTAACCGAGGGACCACTGTACTAAGAAGATTCCACCTCTTCTAGAATGGCTTGGATCATTGTATTACTACTCCTACTCCTTTGTGGCATCACTGTGTCGATGTACGCATCCACGGAAGT